TCAATCTCTTTTTGTTTGCACCGGCTAGGATTTTCAGTTGATTTTTAGTCCATCGGTAATGCCCATCAGCGAACGCACCACACGGGATTGAACCTAGGACGATAAGTTCTCGTATCTAGTCCATAGGTTTCGAATTATTACCCCGGCCCTTAATAGTTTTTTTGTCCTACTTCAGTCAGTTCTCGGTAATGAGCGAACTAACTTGTTAACTATGTATAACCGATTTCTTCATTTTTCAACAATACGCTACTTTACCACTAAGAAATTATTTAGTCTCTTATTACTAACCTATTATTCGAATAATATCGAATTTTACAGTGTGATGAAAGTTTTCTAAAGGATAAATATTACAGACAATCAACCGTCTTATTTATCCTGCACGTTTTAGTATATTTGGGTGTGAACATTTTAGCTTAATAATAGTTGAGGAAAAAAGTCAGAAACTCTCGGCGATTGTGATCGAATTCCAAACAATACGAGTTCTTCCTATGTTGTATGATACTAATTTGAACTGTTGTCAATGGTATAACTTCCGCCTTTGCTAATAACACTAATGAATTTCACTTGATATATTATGCCCACTAAGTATCCTGACTCTGACTGACCCATACAGTTATTTCCTGTTTCCAGGCCACTGAATCAGAAAATGATGAACACCAATTGATTTTTTTATTGTATTTTTGACCCAAAAAATAAACATGATATCCAAAGCACTTAGTCCCTTTGATAAATTCCGATAATGTAATAAGAAGACAAAGATTATCAGAGCTATGTGATATATTAGCGTAATACATTTCGAACAATCTGATCTCACCTTAAACCTACCCTGGTAATATTGACTTATTATCCAGAATGATTAGATTTCAAATTATGTTCACTCTTATCATTGTTAGGATAGTCGGAAAAATATACCAATAATTATCGTGTTAAGTCTATGGTGTCCTTGGACCTTAAATGTACATTTCTTATTGGTCGATGTTTATTTCACTTGTTAAATATTTTGTAAATGTTGTTTCCTATTTTATGGTACGATGTGGTATGCTTGATTGGTATATAAACAAAGTATGTTTGAAATATAATGATTCATAACTCAGAGGCTGTGGCTTGCGTTCTTGACTCAACTGGCTAGGACAGACTGCGAAGCGGGACCAATCAGGGCACAGGGTCGTACGTCCGTGTTTCCGTGTCCACTGTACTCCGATCGATAAATACGCTGCTTATCAAACCCTGCAGTCTCACACTCGCGTTACAACAATTATTATCATTATCCTTATCTCCTCTTACCCCATTTCCAGTCTAGTTCACCTTTTATTTCTATGTATAAATGTTCTTAAAAAGTATATGTGTGATCAGATTGTTCGAAATGTATTACGCTAATATATCACATAGTTCTGATAATCTTCGTCTTCTTATTACATTATCGAAACATGATATCGTAAACCAAATACGCGATTACAGAGCACGATAAGTAGAAAATAACAATCTGTACATAACTTGGTTATTTATGGTACAAAACTGAGTAACAAGTACATAATTATTTAACGGTAATTTATGAACGATGAAACATATGATAACAGTCGATTTGTTAAATAAAAGCCTACAATTAGGACAGTACAAAATTACTATCAGCGAAGTAATAAGTGAATATATACAGTAAAAGTATATATAATAACTCTCGAACTTCTACTCTTTCAACGTATTCACTCGTATCTAATAGTTAGGTTTTTATTAGTATAAGAAGATTTAAGGCTACAGAATTTTCAGAGGTTAAATCATAAACCCATATTAGTCAAACCACCAGTGAAAGATCTGGAGGCCCTGGACAGCCGTTTTGTTTTAGTGTAGGACTCTTCAATAGCATACATCCACAAACCCTCATCTGTGAACCAAACGTAGGACCTTTGATCTCCCACTTAAACTTTTAATCTCTAGATCTCGAAACAGGGATCCACTGAAGTTAATATCCCATTTCAATCAATTTTTTGTCCAATACTTCCAGATTTAGCTAAGATCAGTTTGTGATTTAAATTATGACGGTTAGGTGTTCAATTTAGCTAACAGTTACTTAACAAAGGATTTACATATGTAATTATAGAATTAATAATGAATATAATAAAATATCTGGTAAGAAATTCAGTATTGATAACAACGCTGAATGTTTATTTGAACGAATAATAATAATAATAATAGAATGGAGACGCAAATATTAAAGTCATTCATGAACATGAAACTGAATGAAAACCCGAGGGGGAGAGAGAGAGTATCCATAACGATGACCATAGAAGACAGATTATGTAGATCAAAGTACAAAGATAAGGCTTCTGAATGTGGATGGCGATGGATTTGGCATTGTGCAAAAGATAAACCCGTAAACTATATGATAGATTCGATACAATACAGTAGATAACTTTAAATGGTCGATTCATACCAATCTGATGTTCTGTATCCACTAAGTGAGAAAGAGAAAATAGAACTGTTCATCACTGTTAATTGTCGTTTATTTAGTTAATTGCTTTATTTATTACATCTCAGTGAAATAAGTAAGGCATGATAACCAGATACTTCATGAAGTCTTGAATTTTACCCTGAAATATTAGAAACTCCTTCCTTCTGTCTCTCTGGTTCTTAACTTTTGATATAGTCATTTCAAATAAGAAATTCACGGTAGCTGAATTACTTAAAAAAATAACTTAAGGATCTTTTTGCTTATTGAATAACGAGCCTTTTTTCTAATCCAGTGTCCAATCAAACAGTCAAGTTAGAAAACAAATACCTACTGTATTATTATCCAGAATTTTTAAACCAACAACTTGTAGGTTTGTACATATTACATATACTTGACTGAGCTTATCAGAAATTATAATGTAACCACAAATAGATCATAAATGATAAAAGAAAAACGTAGTAATGCAAAAATTAATCAATGGCTGATAAATCTGAAATATTTTCACAGATAGAAATCATGAGTCAGTTGAAGCTAGACCACCATTGAAAACCTGGAAGCACTGGACGGCCGTTTCGTCCTAGTATGGGACTCCTCAGCAGTGCGCATCCACGATCCCGCACCACGCGGGGCTCGAACCCAGGACCTACTGGCTTCGCGCGCGAGCACTTAACCATTAGACCACTGAGCCGGCATCCAACGGTGTTAATGTCTAACTTCAACTAATCCACGAAGTTGCGCCACCATATACCATTGTCTTCAGTGAGCTGATATCTCACAACAGACCTGGTTGTACTCCACTGGTAACGGCTTCCCACTAGAACTCCAGGAGTATCTCTTGAAGTCAGTCACTAGTGAGCAGATGATTATTATCAGAAGGGGTTTGTGGAGATTTGTAGAAATTTTCACAGATAGAAATCATGAGTCAGTTGAAGCTAGACCACCATTGAAAACCTGGAAGCACTGGACGGCCGTTTCGTCCTAGTATGGGACTCCTATGGGACTCCCATACTAGGACGAAACGGCCGTCCAGTGCTTCCAGGTTTTCAATGGTGGTCTAGCTTCAACTGACTCATGATTTCTATCTGTGAAAATTTCTACAAATCTCCACAAACCCCTTCTGATAAATCTGAAATAGTAAAACATATAACATACAAGTCAAATGAAAGCTTTATAATAAGCGAATATAAAGAAAGACGATGGTCATCAAGGGATTTAATGATTATACAATGAAAATTACATAGGATAATACCCTGTTAAATAGTTTTCCTTTCCCCAACTATCCATTCGTATATAACAGTAAGGTGTTACAAAATCGCATCTACAATTCATAGTCAATTTTAAATTACTTTTATAGACTTGATAAGTTTTCGCTAAAATTATTTCTCATTGTATCAGTACTAATAGCATCAATGAGAATACATACGTTGTGACTAAGACATAGTTTTTATCCTATTTCGAGCTCGTCAACTGGATAGATCTTCATCCTACAGTTGATATTCATATAGGGACCTGAATCTTGTGTCTTCCTATTTGATTATAGAAACGCTTTCGACTAAGATACAGAATCCAGAATTCCACTAACTTGTTTCGCGGGTATGATATTTGTATATTTATTAGTACGGAAGCACCTTAAATGAGGTACTCCCCACCAAAGAGTCTGAAATAGATCGAAAAGTGTATCCTAAGTTACACTGTTAGCCACAATTCACCTCCCATAAATAACTTGTTGTAAGATGGTTATATCAAATCAATCATTAAAGAATATGCATATATTAACAAACACCAATCTGCATTTAGTTAAGAGGTTTCATTAACCAGATAGTTCATATGCATACTGGTAATGATATTGTCACTGTTATAATGAGAATTCTGTATAAAAAAATAGGACTTCTGGAACTGGGTTTTATAATTATGAAGTAATTAGATTACTATGACTGTATATTCCATTTACCATAATCTTTCGCTTAGCGCATCAACTAATATGATACTAATTATTATTTCTATTTTATTGGTAAACACTTATTCCCAGCTTGTCCTATTCACAGCCCTTCTTGACTTCTTAGTGGATAACTAAGATTTTCTATTATATGGTGCGATAAAGGTCTAGTATGTTTACATATAAACGCACATGTCTTTTTAATACAATATAATATAAACTTGCTGCTAATTTCTCTCTGAACACAAAGGAAAAGACAGAGAACAGCTTACGTATAGCGAATCAACAGGAACTTACCTTGCATAAACTTAAGATTAAATGCACTGCTGAAAAGTGTAATTCATCATGACTTGAACGCTAGTCTATAAATGGAATAGTAGACCCAGGATAGAAATCTTAGCATAAATTCTAATAGGTGAATTTCATCAGTAATAGCAAGCTATAACAATCCCACTTATGATCTGAACTATTAAAATCCTACTTTTGTTTATCCTAGTTGTTGCCATTATTATTATTATTATTATTATTATTATTATTATTAGTAGTAGTAGTAGTAGTAGTAGTAGTGTTGATAGTAATATTAGTAATAATACTGTCTTTTCTTCTCACTTATTTTAGAATTTTAATGCAATGGAATCATTTGATAATGATTACTTTTTATATAGTTTACAAACAGCTGTATTCAATGGTTTCGTTCCATCGAATCCATTAAATCAACAATATACCTATCATGATTATTACAGAGTGCCAGGTCATCAGATAATACCAACTACAACCGCAATAACACCGATACTTCATGAAAAGTTCAATCAATCATCATTTGGTGAAGATTTAAGTTTAGGCAATAATCAATCAACAACACCATCAACTGGATATTATTCATCGAATAGAAATTCTAGAGTATTTTCACCTGATTACAATAATAATAATAATAACAGTAATCGTTTTAAATTTCCCCCACCCGGTCCACCAGTTGCTGGTTGGGTTAACCAATTTATTATCAGAGCAAATACGCTTGAAAATTCATTATCTAATGTGAATACAATAACATCATCAACGTCTCCATTAACAAGCATAATATCGTTGAATGAAAGGCGAGCACATCAGTTGCAACAACAACAACAACAACAGAAAAACGCTTCTTTCTCTTCATCATTACATAATACACCATTAAATCATTCACCAATCACAGCGATTGATATTATTGGTTTATCAAGTCCGATTACTATACCAAGTAGATCCATTTCATCTGTACCACCATCTCCACAACACATTCCATTTGATTTTATTCATTCTTCTCGTTCATTGGGTTTAACTTCATCGAGTGTAATTCCAAGAAGAAATAATTCAATAACAAAATATCCTAAACATGAATTACCAATAATAGGAAAAAGAATAATCCCTATTGAAACTGATAAGTTGCCTGTATTCACCAAACTTGGTAAATTAATTGATTAATATTTCATTTCAGATACTACTATTATTTATCATTGTTAATTTTTCTCTATAATTGCCATGAGGTATGGTAACTTGGACTGATGCACATATGTGCTTAGTCCTACGTTGTGACTGACTGATTGACTGACTTTTTGAATAACAATACATGATCTCATAGAAATCTAAGCTTATCAACTGATGAATATCGAATTAAACAAATTTAGATTGATGATAATACATTGAACAATGAAGATTGTTGCATGTTATAGTTTATCTCATCCTCTTATTATTTATATATAAACAATCTGTTCTCATTGAGATATACATGTTCTTTGTTTCTTTAGAAAAATAACACTTGTTACTTTTCACCAAAGCATATTATCACAAATGATAGACTTATGACTATTTCATAGATAGGTAACTATGAAAGTTGGGTAGAGTAAAATAGTTATCAAATTTCAGATTTATATTCTTAATTCAAATGTATCAATCTATAGTACTGTTAGATATGTTTGACCTGTTGTCACATTTCGTTTACCTACGGTTCAGAAGGATAACTCTTTTGGAAGTAATTGAGCAGGAAACTGCGTTATTTGTGGTTCTGATGAACAGACGCCTGTTTGAGACCTTTTCATAAGCATTTGAATGTGTGATAAGGCTTTACTGACGGAGACAGAAACTCCATAGAGCATCGTGATACGCACAACCTTTATGGGCTGGGCATTTTTTCTGACACTCTTTAGTTGTGAGGACGTAGGATCGCTGCAGATACTGTCCCTTTTAATGAAACACCTTACTCCTTTTACATTCCTGTATAATCGACCGCATGACCTTTCTTTTGGACCTTAACTTGCTACTTATCATGGTATTATCTATAAATAACTTGAGTTCAAGCCAACAGGCTAGGTTATATAGCATCATGGAAATTAGGCTTCATACGATTCTTTCTTCGTTACTTATTAATATCCATCTATCCACGATCCTAAATTTAACAAAATAACTGTATTGAGGTTATTCTCATAAGCTAATTCATGCATACCGATAAACGATAGTCTAAGTTCAATCAAGAATATCTACAACGAGATAATTCAAATCTACACCAATGATGAACTGAAACAACAGGTCTGTTGAACACGTTTATGGCTATCTGAACCAAGTAGCTCAGCAAAAGATACAGCGTTCAAGTCTTGACATGCAGAATAACCCTGAAATAAGCAGATAAATCTAGTTGATGATTCTTAAATGAGACGATATTATATAAATATATTCACAGTTATATAATATACCCTTGTAGGCCAGGGTAATTTTACATTGGTTTTCAGGAAAACCAGACACCATCCGGACTTTCACGTGACAACCCAAACAGTACGGCTCAACCCTGTTTAGCAGGGGAACCAGACACCGTATAGGCTTTAACGCTACAATCTGAATAGTTCAGCTCAATCCTGTGGCGCAACCACACAGGTACCAAGCACCCTGGTGGACCATTCGCATCATTCTTACACACATTCACGTCACATGTATAGTTATTCCGATCAATGATCGCGTGAATCAATTATGCACAGCATGAACAGGCTAAAGTTGACCTATTCCGCTTACACGATAGTCAAACTCGTTAATGTTAGCGATGGCGACATGCCTTACAATGTCCCAATGACAATGGCCCTCGGGAACACTGAAAAGCAACCACCAGTATGAATGAAATCGGTTAACCAGCAAACCGATTTTTTACATGAACAGTCAGCAAAACTTGCCAAAGCAGTGCCGAACCATCCACAACAACAATCGCGAACCTCCAGCCTCATATAAGACCTTCAGCTCTACATAGCCATATAGCTATATGAGACGATATACATATCCTAAATTTCGCTGTTACCTATAAATCTTTTCTTTTATAATAAATAAAATAACATATATACATTTATTCTTTCCTATTTTATTTCCATAGATTTTCCAGAATTCCCAAATGATTCACTTACTGTATTAAAAAATAATTTCATAAAACCTGAAAATAATATCTTATTACATAATTTAAAAGATAATAATAATACTACTAATAAACAGAATAATAATAATATGTCACAACAACAATTTCTAAGTCCATTAAATTGTTCTGATCCACAACATAGTGATAGTGGTTATAATGATTCATTAATTATTCCTGATCAAAAATTATCATCATTATTATTATTATCTTCATCATCTACATCATCTTCTATAGTTCATTCATCAATTGATTTTCAATCACCAACAAATTTATCACCATTATTTCAATATGATACTATTCATAATTCAACTGAATGTATTTCAATTACATCACCTATAACAACTACATCAACAATCAATTCAATCTTTTCTGATACAGTTGAAATGATCCATAAGTATTCAGTTGTAGATAATCATATTAAAAATACTGTCAATAATAATAATAATGATAATAATAATAAAAGTAATCAATATGTTTATTGTAAATTAGAACTTCCTTTATCTGTTACACAATCTATACCTGTATCATTGTCTTCAGTCACAGCTATAATATCATCACCATCATCAAAAAGATCATCAACTAGTTCACGTAGTACTGAACCAAGTTCTGCAAATAGTACTACTGTTATATTACGTGAAAATCTAGGTAAGTGTATTGAATGAAAAGAATATTTTAATATATATATATAGTATGTGAATAGTTTAATTCTGTCAATTATTCTATGTCATTTGATGATATAATAAATCAATCTTAATAAGATAATTATCATCAGGGTTGTATTGAATATCTGATTCATTCTAGTATAGAACTCCTTAGTCTCTCGTAATATATAGCAACTAGAATTTTTTGGTCTATATATATTTTTTCACTTCATCAGTAGTATGCATTCAATATCAAACTAAACACTGTACTTATAATTCTCAAGTCTCAATGTAAGTACTAAACATTTAGATTACAAACCCAAGATCTAATAGTATACATTCTTAATTTTAATGAATTCGAGAATATCTTCCATCATGATCCATTGTTATCGATAAAATTTACCTTAATCTTGACATGGTTGGACTCCATCGGTCACTAAAACTTTTGAAATACTCTTATGAAATTAGTCACTAATGATTACTTGATTATTATCAGTATTGGGGGATTGTTCTGAGTGTCGAATTTTACTGACATCACAAATCAAAGTAAGACAAAAAAATATATATTGAATATTCACCTGAGTTCTGAACTAATTTCACGAAAATAACTACTGTAATGCTTCTGTGTAGTACTCAAACTCCTCCGGGAGCCCCACTGGGGCTACTGTTGGTTCCAAGCCCGGATAAAGGAAAATGGTTGGATATGTGGTTAGCGAACCCATGCAGTAGAAATCTAACTCGCTAAAAAAAACTAACTGGGAAAAATAATTCAAACCATTTAAACTCTGCACTGGGAGTTAGAAGATCTTCATTTAGAAGAATTATGACCAGTGGAGTTCATTTCTTCCGGGTGTGAGGCAAATTTACCCACCGAAGACAACCAAGGATGGTCATGAATTATCGTGGATTAGTTGAATTTATGCAATAACACCATAAGATGCCGGCTCAGTGGCCTAGAATTTAATAGTTCGTGCTCAATACTCATGGTCTTGAGTCCGAGTCCTAGGTGTGGAATCATGGATGCGCATTGCTGCGGAGTCCTGCACTGGGACGAAACGGCCGTCCAGAGCTTCCAAGTTACCATTGAGGTCTAACATTGACGACATTGACTACTAGCCCGAGCAATATGTGACAACATCTCAAACAACTGAGTTAAAAATTCTTTCGGACTCCAATCTGAGGAGCCCTGATGAGACGATAGGTTCCAGTTTCCCACAGCTTTCTTTTTCATTCAGGTTCTATGTCACGAAACGTCCACCTCTTCGCTTTTACTACCCACTCTCAGCATCGTCAAACAATGTTCGGTGTAGAAGTCATTTATAACACCAGATGAAGCCACTGAAACCGGTTTTTCAAGATGGTGATATGATTTGGATTATTGTCACAGTGTCCTATAACCACCTTTCATAACCTGGTGATGCCACTGAATGTATGTAATTCTTCGAATATAACAGTAATTTAACAGATAATTGGTTAACATCCTCAATTTTTAGTGGCAAAGCTTCACAAGTATGTGTCAGGACTGCTTTCACTGATACTTTGTAGACTCGATCTTTTACATCCAGACTAACATTACAACGGTAGATAAAATGGCTTAGATTAGTACAAACCACCTCTGTCTCTATATGTTGAAATAATCTCATCTGACATTCCACCACTAGCACTCACACAGGTACCTAGTTACACAGACTTTTCAACTTCTTGGAACTTTTCACCACCATGTGACCTTGATCAAAATAGTGCTTTTGTAGTTGAGGCGCCAGCGGCTTGATTCTGTCAAGTGACTCTTAGTGTTATTCCTTAGTTTTTTTTCTGGTTAAAAGTTGTCCATGATCTATTGTTTATTTTACTTCTCATCTCGAATATTACGCCTCAACAAGGCTTACCTGTAATATTGAAGAAACTGGTGATCCCTAATGGATCTGAACCCTCATCATACTGTTTCAACATGTGACGTTACAACTAGCCCATTTAGGATGCGACAGACCTTCTGCAGGATTGATTTGTTTACAACTGACTGATCACTGAGTCGTGACTAAGTTCAAGTTACATCCGAATATTCCTGTTGACATCTCAGCATTTAAAGCTAGATGACTAGAAGAATCACACCGAACAATAGTGCAAGTATACCTTGTTGAACACTACCAACTAACACAAAACTACAATCAAACTGGGTTTCCTATCGTCTATCTTGAACTACTTAATACCAGAACCTAGTGAACGCAATGTCTGGCCACTTAATTAATAAGCCATATGGTAACCTGGTCGGTAGAATTCGGTCATCACTAAAATACCAGACAAACATAACATTGATCAATACTCAGTGATCAGTTGATTACTGTTCGTTTTTTTAGATTATCGTATTTGTCGAACTAGATTTAGCCTTAAACATTCTGTAAGATTTCTAGATATACTATCTGATCGCCTCATTATCATAATATTTATCCAGCTCAAGCTAATAACAAACTGTCAAATGTAAAATAAATCTTGCCTTTCGTTCCTTTCCTTAATAGGTGTGAATCCTAGCATTTCTGTTAGTCTTTATACAATAATAAAAGTAGTTACTTACAAATTTCTGGCTACAGTTTTTCATTCCACAATTTCGCACATTTTGATCGCTTATTGAGAGTTTTGGAAAGTTTCTCTTAAACATCTTCAAAAATTGGGAAATGGTTGTGAATATTTCGTCCAAACAGTATGCAATAGAAACTACTGAGAAAGTTCATGTCACATCTCAATTGGATGATCACTGATCGTGTTTTTAATCTTAACATATTTACAGAAGCTTCGAGAATATTTCAACTAACGTTGGGAGTGAAACTTCCTTCCAAACTTCCCGCCTTTTGTCTTCCTTCCGACGTACAAATGTAGGACATTTCTGAAGAACATTTAGAAGTTGATATCAAACATACAAACACTAGGCATAACTTACATCTTTCGTTATTTTTATAACTGTTATTTCTACTTTCTGTACAGCAAGAGGTAGTAGTCCGACATTTCAGTTAACCTTCTAGTTTAAGTGACAGAATAAAATCAGCTGAATAACATTATACACTGCTGAGTTACTGTGTAACGCTGGAAATCGGTGAGAAATTTTTACTTAAATCATTATTTATAGTAATGCTTGAAATAATATAAAAGCAACGCTACCAAATACTGATAGGTCGATCTAATACTGAAACCTAACATTCTAATTTAAATCTTAAGATCAACACTGATCGCCTGTATTCAGAAACTTTGATTTATCTAGTCTATGACGAATAATTTATTGAATGTAGCAAGTAAGTTCATTTCGAAACGGTTTTCAAACATTTTTTGAATAGAGTTTGCATTTCAACGTTAAAATATGCTGATTAGATGACTCTATATGTGAATTTGTAAGCCAACGTACTTTACTCTAGGAAAGTGGAAATTTAGTTGACCGGAACAATTTTAAAAAGTGATGAGGGGGAAACAGCCAATTTTTAAACACTTCATAAAACTTCTTTCGTATCAATTCGCTTGATATTCTATGACAAAATAAGAATAAAAATGTGTGTTGAATCAAATAAAAGTCCTGAATTCGATTCTTATCTGTGAAGTCATGGATGGGCACTTCTCATGTGTTCCATATCATCACGAAACGACCGTCAAGTGCTTTCATGTTTTCATTATTGGTTTAACATTGGTTGGTTCATGATTCCGATGAAATTCAGCAATCCTCGCAATCCAATATTAACAATAAATTCACTTTGTTTTAAGTCTGCTTATTAAATACAAATCGCCTAAAGTTATGATTACTTATTGTTGTATTGCCCATCTTACTCGAGAACTATTCTAGTTCCCATGATCCCAAGTAACAAATGATCCATATGAAGATTTATTGAGATTTTTAGACATACATGTCATCACTGTTACAAATGTTAATAAATATTGATGTTTCAGTAATAAAATCAGTAATCGGATGATGCAAATGGGAACACAGATATGTCGAATGAGGATTTATTTATCACTCAATCAAAGTCAACATGAATAACTGAATACACTAAGTTTTATACGAATTATATCAATTAACAGTCAGATTGGTATACATTAAATGGGTAGTGCTTAACATCATGTAGTTAATCATTTACTGAATAAACATAGATATACAATATTATAAAATTACATTGAAATCATAAACCTATCTTTGTTAGACCATCATTGAAAATCTGGGAGCATTGAAAGGTCATTTTATTTTATCATGGGACTTTTCAAAGGTGACCATTTATAACTACGCATACAGGAGTCGTACCCAGTACCTTAGATTTAGCACATAAACTCTTAATCTCTAGACCACTGATTTAACATCCAATAATAATAATCTTTAACTTCAATTAATCAAACTGATGAATATTGAATATATTGTATTATTACATCATCTGTCAGTATATCAAGTGTAATTCTTTGTCAATAATGTCATTTCTGTAGTAATTGTCAGTGCAAATCTATGAAGAAATGTAATATCTAATTCATGACATATATATGTATATATCGCCAGTATTTAAAATAAATGAGTAAATACTTTAAGTTTAAATGACACATTAGTAAACTCTACAAACTAAATGACATTAATAATAGAAGAAATTGTTTAATCATTAAATGATTGAATGATTATGTAATTTGACAACTATTAAACAATATAAATTAAATTAGCATCCTTTAAAAATAATAGAATCATTTCTAAGTAAAGATGAAATAGTGACTAGCAGTGGTATTAAGTTTGACGCTCATTTCATCCTATTTGCGACTCGTCAACTGGATGTACTTGCATCTTAAACTTGTTGATATTCTTTCTGGAACTTGAACCCAGTACCATTCGCTTTAAATGCCATCGCGTTATTCATTTAGTTACTGAGTCCTAATAATCATTTCTTTTGTATTTTGGTAAATATTTCAAACAAAATACCTAATTATTGTCATATATATATCTTTGCTATACACTTCTATAATACTATTTACATAATCTTACAATACATTACATTATATTCATAATATATTTCAGTCTTTTTTATTAGACCATTAACTTGAAGTATAGTTTTGTCAATTATTTGTATCACATAAAAAGTAATATTGCTTTATAAGTAGTTTGTAATGTTTGCTTTCCAGTGTATATTAATATTTCATATAATGCTAATTGGTAGGTAGGTAGGTAGGTAGGTAGGTAGGTAGGTAGGTAGGCTAATCTTTCATTACATTATAATACAAGAAACGATACCATAGTGGTTTATGCTACTTATATCTGTCGACATAAGTAGTATGTAACACTAATCAGAAGTAGAATGGCTAACATCAAAAGGTGGAGAAGATTGAAGTGAATAGAACAGAAATGTAAATAGAGAGTAATTGTAATAACAACGGAAATGAAAGGACGATGAAGTTTATAAGAGACAATTGATGGAAGATGTGCCAATGAAGTACTTAGTGTATGTAAGAACTTTCGTCTAAATTTGAACGAATAGTTTCACAATATTTGGGCGCCGAGTTAATTTGAGACATCAAAAAGGAAGAATATATTTGTAAAATCTCAGCGAATGAATTTTAAGTAAATCCAACGTTTCGCCTGGCAATCTGGTCCAAGCTTTTCCAAGGAAATAAGCTTGGACCAGATTGCCAGGCGAAACGTTGGATTTACTTAAAATTCATTCGCTGAGATTTTACAAATATATTCTTCCTTTTTAATACTTAGTGTATGGTTTTCATATTTTATAAGGACACTATAATTTCGAAGTATTTCTAATCATTCTAGCAGAATCTGTGACAAGCAATAGTGATCATCAAAATACTCGATTGAATAGGACATGACACGTAGATAAAAGTATAGAAATTGATTTGTTTGTTTTCAGTTTTAAATTGTCAGAAGTTAAATCACGATATAAGTATTTGTAAGCTTCATTTATGTATTTCGTGATATGATAGACATTTGTTATAATTAAACGGTTATGAATGACATACAGGTTCATGGATCTACGCTGCTGATAAGCCCCACACTAGGAAGAACAGACCATCTAATATTTCTATGCTTTTAATGGTAGTCTAGCTAAAATCAGTTCGCGATATAATGATGTCAGATTTGCTTCGTTTTCCAGTATTGATCTAATTCTATCGATCAAATCGCAGTATGACTACTAGCTTAAGCGACTCAATGCTGTATGCACTTCGTTTAGAGGTTAAATAGTTGGTGGTAATCGGAAGGGAACTCTATTTGACTTAGATTACGTGCTATTTTCCACTCGTCACAACAAAGCATGTAGCCTTGAGAGAACTTCTCGTTCCTTGTGGATTCAAGTTCATATCATCTAGTTTCATAGTCTGAGCTTCTTAACACTCGACTTACCTCCTGTAAGACATGTATTTCTAATTAATCACTACTCAGTAATTCAAAAGCAGTAGAGAATATGTTGTTTCAATGATACAATTTAATTATGATTCAATTGCAAACTAAATAGAATAAAACATGGAGGTTTCAAATACAATACAATACGATAGAATCATATGTATCATAGATAAGACTTGGTTTACAAGATTAACCACTTTAATCCAACACTGACTAAGGTTATTAAGTATACAATGATTTATCTAAATAGAATATAACCTAACCAATGAGAATCTATCTATGGTATGAAACAAAAATTTTCAAAACTATAAAATAACATGTTGCCTGAAACAAGTTTGAAATCATCTAACTACTAACTATATTTATTTACATATTTCTTAATGACCTCATGGGTTGTGTATGAAAACTCGATAGATTTGTTGTAGTTTGCTCATTCATACTTTATTTATTTGCCCCTTTATAAAAAAAAACCAAAGATAGTTTCATCCAAAATGAATCAATCAATATTTATACATTAAGTGTATTTAGACTAGTCTTTTGTTTAAGTACGTAAAATGTTCTGAAATCTACACTACAATTACGATAAATCTGATATATCAGAAGGATTTTCTTGAATATTAAAATCATTTCAGTGGTTGAGATTGTGGTAGGCGTCGAGTCGCGATTGACTATGATCAGCACTACAGGAAGATTATGTACTAGATATTAAGTTTGATCCCTTCGTAGACCAAAAACCAAAAGGCAATTGACGGTCTTAATAGAATATATTTGTTGGCAATCTCATGGTATCGAAATAATACTGAAATCATGCCAAAGAGTACAAGAGGGTCCACGTAGCGTACGCGAATGTGTGCAAGGTCACAGTTAACGGAAGAAGGTAAGGTTTTAGTACAGTTAAACAAGCAGTTAAACAATCACTGGTACAATTGGTTATAATAATAATTGTTTCCATCATACCAACCACGTTCTCCTCATAAAAGTAGGTCACTACAGGAGCCCCCCTCTAGAAAGGGGTTACACTTTTGATACGTAGCGATTTCGTTCTTGGGACTGTAGGACGAAAGGGTTGACCAATAGGAAGCGATCGTTGATCATCGAGTTGTCACCGGAGGTCTTTTATGTATTACGCTACCACGAGAAACGTGCTGTATTTGTTGCTCGAGTTGGCACACCGCACCAGAGTGGTTTGTATCCAGTATCTGAGGATTGCGTCCGTAGGTGTGAGGACCAGAAAGCGTTACAGACGTAGGACGGAACCACATTGAGCCAAGAAGCCAGAAGCGACCATAACAATCAAGTTCGGGACTAAACATATGCCAGACAGGTTCGAAACCAGAATATCGACCGAGTGCGTTGATAAGAGCGTAAGTGATCATGGCAGCGTTCGCCAAAACTGACCGAAGTCGACAGTACCAAACGGACGATGGTCGGCGGTGTGGGCTCAATGTACAAAAAAAACACTGGTACTATTGGTTATAATAATAATTGTTTCCAATTATACCAGTCGCGTTCTCTTCATAAAAGTAGTTCACTACAAGATCATGAGTCAATTGAAGCTAAACCACCATGAAAAACCTGGAAGCACTGGACGGTCGCTTCGTTCTAGCGTAGGACTCCTCAGCAGTGCGCATCCACGATCCCACCTCTCGTGGTTGGAACCCAGAATCTATCGGTCTCGCGCGCGAACACTTAGCCACCAGATCACTGAGTTGGCATCCAACGGTGTGAATGTCTAACTTCAACTAATCCACGAAATTAAGTGACACATCCACCATTGTCTTCTGGTATATGATTATCATGACTTACATCATGGTCTGATTTTAGTTAAACAACAATTGAGAACCAAAAATCACTGGACAGTTGTTTTAGCATAGTATAAATCTCTTTAACCGTCAAAACCTACGAAACAACAAGGATATAAACTTAAGGCATTCAGGTATTTGGACGGGCACTTTAATGATAGAGTAGTCAAAGGTTAGTCATTTATTGAAGTCCTTGCTCCAAAACAGGACTAAAAAGCTATCCAATGGTCGTCATACTGAGATCAATCTACGACGTAAACTATACGATTCAACTATCTCGACAACATAGTATAATCGAAATGAAAAATGTCCGACTACATAATGTTTTGAGAAAATATAAGCTTGGGAATAACAAAGTTTAGTCCCAAATAATTTCCATTTTGTTTTTTTTTCTTTATCGATAGTTACAGGTAAATAAAAAGATATAAACTGTCAATAAATGAACGACCTAATTTTTTTATTATTATACATTTTACAGATGTAAATCGAAAATTATCTTATCCAACTATGAATAATTTCAATAATACAAATCGTAATCAAACTATATTCCGTTCTCCAAGTGATCCGGATATATTTTTTTCATTTTGTGATGAATCAATAAATAATAAATCAACATTAACACAACAACAACAACAACAACAACAATTTCCTTCAATTCATTTATCAAATCATTATAAACAACAACAACAACATCATCATCCGACTAGTGTACCATTATCACGTACAAATTATACATCGAATAATATGATGAAATTAATGATGATGAGTACATTATCTGATTCATTTAAATATCATCATCTTATAAGACAAAAATCTGAAAGTCAATTACTTACAGATCGTCATGATTCATTTGATGAAATTTCATGGGATTTACAACCAACTCCATTATATTAAATAATAATTTCATTATCCTAATAATGAACAATATTTTTTATTAGTGATAATCATTTTATTCAAATATAAACAAAATATTGATGAATATATATTTATAAAGATTATTATGTACAGTCATCACCTTGGTAACAACGAGGGGAATAGAGTAAGCTTTACATTGTTCATACTGTGATATATATATACATATATATACATATATATCTAAGCCTATTTGTTTATTTATTGCGTCATTATTACCATGACTAAGAAAGTATTTCATATTCATATATTCCTTGTAGAATACTGTTGTTTTTCTTTTTGTTCCTCTTAGATAAATAATACCAAAATGATTATCTTGATTATTATGATGATTAAAGTGGATAAATCATTTCCTCCCCATTATGTAATTGTTTTGGTCTGGTTTGTTTTTCTTTATACCAGTTTTTTTCTTTCTTTCTTTCGTTCTTTGTTTGTTTAAATACTCTTCCGATATTATTTCATCGGTACTATTGCACCCCTCTAATACATTAAAGTTATTATTCATTATTTATTATAAATGATCATGACATGAATAGTTAAGATTTTATTTATGTTAACTTACTAAACGATAGATCTATCCACTTCTAATTTACCTTATTTTGTATGAATAGATGATTTATTTGTCTATGGGGGGGTCTCTCTCTTTAAACAATTGTGTGTAGGTGTGTGTGTGTGTGCGTTTGTGCATGTTATTTAGCACAAAATAAACTCAATACCACTATTTTATTCTATTATGTAACCAAAAGTTATATTGGATCTTTGTTCAAGTGTTTATATTAATATAATGTCTTGTTTGTTTGTTTTTCTCGTCTTATTTTGTTTAATTTTAACTCATATCTCGACGACGACGACGACGATGATGATGACGGTAACAACATCGTCATTCTTACCGACATTGTACACCTTTTTTTCCATGGCTAACTTTTTCTATGATATTTTTCTCTTTTCTTTTTCTTTTTATCAATAATTTAACATATGAAAGACAGAAATGAACAATTTGATATATCTTTCTTTTATTCTGCATTTTTCTATTATTATTATTATTATAGATGTTGTTCTATTTTCTATATTCTGTTCGTCTTTTTGTTTTTGTTTACTGCTGTATGTTATTTAATTTTTCATCTGGTCTATTTCCAATGAATATCAAACTTTCCCATTAATACTACTACTACTACTACTACTATTATCCCATGTCTCTTCATTCGGTCTTGTTAAACACCACTTTTCTAATTAAATATGAATAAATGATGAGCATATTACTACCACTAGTATTATTATTATTATTATTATTCAACTATTGTTGAATGGGATTGTAATAGTGAGGGTTTATCTCTGGTTTACATCTTAACATTCATAGTTGTGATGATGATAAATGGATGGAAGTGAATTACTTTTTGTAAAAAGAAAGGAAAAGAAATAAGGGAATGAAATATTCGATAAAATTATACCAAATAATTTGAATAAATGGATCAATGTTAGATTACCATTGAAAACTTGCAAGTACTAGATGGCCGTTTTGTCCTAGTATGAGACTCTTCAGCAGTGCGCATCCAGTATGGTAGATTATCATTTGGGTTAACGGATTGCCAGAATTTCTATAGTTTAAGTCCAGAGGAAACTGAGATTATTATTGCCTACCATACCTTAACGATAATTAATGTAGACAGATTTTCGTTCATTGTTTACCTGACAAATGATTGATCACTAAGTAGTATCCAATGTATGATCTTTCCTAGTGCTGATAAAATTCTATCGTCTAAGTTGTGATGCGACAACTAGTGTTCAAGTAAATCAACATCTTTTGCATTGTGTTGAGATGTAAGGAGTTGGTTATAAGTAGTCGATAAGAAATCCTGAACCTGAGTTTCGTGTTAGCAAAGTGTACCTGTAATCTAAATGGAACTGATGCTACCTCGTTGATTCAGTCCTGTGTCACTAAGCTTTATCGTCAAAAATATTGCTACTTATATATTCGGTTTCCTGTAGTCTACGTCCAACCACCACCTTAAATCTCAACATAATAAACACATTTTTAACGATTGACTTCAGTGTGAGAGATTTCGATGAAAAATCTGCTGATTAGTGTCCAAGAAATACAGGATTATTGAAAGCGTTATGTGACTATCTATTTGATAATATTATTACAGCATGAAATAATAGAGATTGTTGCTGTTACTTCCTCTACTTGGGTGGGACAGAATACGGTGTACAACTATTGGCACTCAAATATATAGAACCCCACATTCGCAAATCAAAAGATGGAAAAAGCAAAGTAAGCGATTATTGGATAAGGGTCAAAAGTGTGCAGAAAAACAAGGGTATTTATAGTTTTTAGTATCATCTACAACATCATTACAATTGAGCTAGTCCGCAAATAGGAATTTCATACAACCGTCTGATCACACCATGCCACGTTAGTATTCTAGAAGGTTCTCTTAGGTTCTGGTTAGACGAAATCTCTTCAGCATCTTTAGAGCATCTAAAGGTTTCTTCGTCCTTTTCAAAAATTACATTTAATGGAAATCATGAACCGATCTATGCTGGACCACCATTGAAAACCTGAGAACACTGCACAATCGTTTTGCCTAGTACGGGACTTATTAGAATTGAGCGTCTACGACCTTGCACGCGAACGCAACCTCCAAACCATCGATTCAGCGTTCGTTGGTGTTGATGTCTAGTACTAGCCAAACCACGACACTGCGCAGAATGGACTACCATTTATTTTTGCAAATAAATGAAGTAGAACAAACATCAAAATTAATTTTTGTTCACTGTATCCACAACAAGTTTACGACAAATAATTTTCCTGATGTTTCACTACATTATTAACACACCAGTAATAAATTTAGCCAGATTATCATTAATCCTCATTTGACCGTACTCAGTCATCAATTTTAATTGCGTCCGATTCTAGAATAAATACTAATAATTCAGAAAGAATTTATATCAAATGAATACATAATTTACTTATATGTATATCTATCACGTTGTTAATGGATTGGGGCCGTATAGACAAATAATTTTATGAGATCTAGTTTAATTTTAAACTAAATCTATCTACATGAGTTGATAATACTCCTGAATTTGTTTCGTAAGTTTTAATTTCCATTTTATTTGAAATAGATGCAAGTTCAAATATACCCACACTTTGGTTGTTAATAGTCTCAGGACAATTAAATTTCCTAGTCTTACTAAATTTCACAATAACTTATATATATACGATATTATTTTGATTTAGATCATGAATCAATCAATATTAGACCGCCATTGAAAGTTTGGATGTACTAGACGGCCGTTTCGTCCTAGTATGGGACTCTTCAGCAGTGCATATCCATGATGCCGCAACTGAAGTCGAACCTAGAACCTTTGGTCCTGCGTGCGAATGCTTAACCTCTAGATTATTGAGCTGGCATCCGATAGTGTTAATGTCTTACCTCAACCAATCCACGATATTGCGCGACCATCTTCTATTGCCTTCGATGAGTTACTGCCTCATATCACACGCGGATTAGCTACACCTGTCATGGCTTCTCACTAGAAGTCCGATAATTACCTCTCAAAGCTAGTCACTAGTGAGCACGTAGTAATTATCATTATAAGGTTGTGTAGATTGTCGAATTTTGGTTGAGATCATGAATCAATCAATGTTAGAAAATGGAGGGTAGTCACATAATATCGTGAATTGGTTAACTGTTTGCGCGCGAGACTGAAGGTCCTGGTTTCGACTCCAGTTGCGCTATGGTGGATGAGCACTACTGAGGAGTTCCATACTAGAATGTCTAGTACTTCTAGGTGTTCAGTGGTGTTCTAATATTGATTGATTTCTGTCATAACTAAACAATCTCCACAACCCTATACTGATGACAACATTATTGTTCATTTAATAATTACAAATCCAACTGAATAAACCATAAACCCGTTCACTTGAATACTAGAATTCGATCTTAACACAGTATATGAATATTTACATTTAAATACATTAATTACTGTCGTTTTAGATAGATGACTAGTAACATCGTATAAACACATATCCGACACATTGGATAACAGTTTAAATATAAATCTACCTGTATGCTAGAAACTAAACCAATACATTTAACATGATTTTCGATTAAATGAATGAATCAGGGATTGAAACTTAACTTAAGAACAAAATAGACGTAACCATTTATTCTTAGTATAATCATTATACTGGCAAGACCCTAAATGCCCTAGTACGGCCGAGGGTGGAGAGAATCATCTTCTCCTCTCGAAATGTTCTCATATGGCCACGTGTATATAACCTCTGCTATGGAAGTCCTACTCACTGCCTTCTCGCACTGGGGTTGTTGTTTACGAAGTTGAGAGTACTAAAACCGAAACTCAGCGCTTTAACCGGATTAGAGGATCCAACTAGAGGAGTTGGAAAACCCTGATTTCAAAGCAGTGGTGCACATGGGTTCCAAAATCCTAAGGAAACATTTGGTGTATGAACCAATCGTTGGTCGTCGACTACCATGGAACCGTATCTTCTTACGTCGCTCCACTGCCTTGTGGATCAAACCTTTAGGTCAAAGGCTCGGGGTATGACCCCCTAAGAAAATCAACTGTTTTGGTTTGAGCACCCGGGTGACATCACAGCTCACACACACACAAATCGAATGATTTACTTGTCACATATTTGTTTGGTGCCTCTTTGTATCAGTATTTATATGTTCAAATAAATAAGCAAACTCGAATAATTGATTCCACTCACTGCCACGTTTAATCATAGTCATCACTATTATAATCACTTAAAGTACATTTCCAAATTCTAATCTTTCATTTTGCAATCTTTATGTATCTATGTATACGTTCTATTTAAGAATCAGAAAAACTCATTCATCATTATATATTCAAAGTTTAATTAAAACATTATTTACGGTAACTAAGTAAACATTATAATAAACAACAATTGAATAAAATAATTAGTAAAAATGAAAACATTTTACAAAGTCACTTAATGATTATTTCATTGTAAATAATCCTTCTTCTTGTACTCTTATTTTTATTAATGTTACCATCACGACTACTACTATTACTATTACCACTACCATCACTACTAGTAATATTATTACTATTACTACCAATGTAGTGAACAGAACACGGGTCAGGGCGACCGAATGTACTCGAACAAAATTACAGAGCATATCAATAAAATCTGAGAACCATATATTAAATTGTTAATTTGCAAAATGTCCACCAATTGTCTCAAAATGCCTCAGACTTCATTGGTCTTATATTTTCATACAAATTGCATTCTATTCTCGCTTTGCTTTCTTGATCTTCCCCCATCTTCTGCTGCCGGACATTATATTCCTGACTTGTATAATATACTACTTATATCAATATAAGTAGCACGCACCACAATACTACTGCTATTACTACTACTACCACTACTATTTAACTTATTATTATTATTACTATTATTAATAATGATGATGATAGTGGTGATAATAATAATAATAGTACGAATATTGCTGATTTTCGCGCTCAGATTTATTACATTGAAACTCATTTGTTGATTGTATATTGTTGACCTTGATCGATGTTGTTTTATTTGAGATGGGATAAAAACTGAATTGGTATATATATATATATATATATATATATATATATATATATATATATATGTACCGTTACAATTATGTATATCAAATGAATAATAATTAAAGGAAATGACATTAATTCTATTGTAATGAATAGTTGTTTCTTTTGTTTACATGAATTACAATAGTTTATAAAAGGGAGACAGTTTAATTATACTGTTATAATATGTGTCCCTATCAATAATATAACGTTATGATATCGCCAATTAGAGAACAGTGATTTATAGACTGGATCAATAATGCATAAAACCCGTAAAAGTACTCTAGAGTCTTTATCAATCCTTCTTCCTGTTTGTTATGTTCAGAACACTAATCTCAGCTTCTGCGTTTATATACACCATTTAAACAGACCAAATCGTATTATAAAATAGGAAACAACATTTATACAAGATTTACCCAAATGTGTCTATGAATGTGGGAGACTGTAATTAATAGATTGGTCATAAATCATGAATGGTAAATCGTATAATAATAGTTTATGGGTCAGAATAAAGCTTTTAATAAGTGGAATATGAATATTATCAGAAGGGGTTTTGTGGAAATTTTAGAAATTTAACAGATAGAAATTATCAGTCACTTGAAGTTAGACCACCATAGAAAACCTGGAAGCACTGGACGGCCGTTTCATCCTAGTATGGGACTCCTCAGCATCGAGCATCCACGACCCCGCCTCGCGAGATTCGAACCAAGGTTAGTAACTCACTGATGAAAATGGATGACGATGAGGCAACTCCATGGATCGCTTGAAGTTAGACATTAACACCGTTGGATGCCGGCTCAGTTGTCCAATTGGTTAAGCTCCTGGCGCGAGACTGATAGGTCCTGGGTTTGAATCTCGCGGGGTGCGAGATCGTTCGAGTGCACTGCTGAGGATTCCCATACTAGGATGAAACGGCTGTCCAGTGCTTCCAGGTTTTTCATGGTGGTCTAGCTTCAATTAACTCATGATTTCAATCAGTGAAATTTATAAAATCTCCGCAAACCCCTTCTGAAAATAATATTTACTTCAAATTTTCAACGAGTCATCCACCAAGCTATTGATTTTCAATAAACATGAACAAAAGTGATGTTTCTTGATCAATATCAATGAAAGTGCTAGATATTAACTTATTATTCAGGACTGCTTTTCATTCTATTTGATAAACGCTAATAAGCATAGAAATACTTTTTTATTTTCCTTGCAAAAAATCTTAACGATAAGTGATTTTTCTCAGATCGTAATAATTTCCTCTTACTGTTATAATGACCATAAGTAGTAGTAGTAGTAGTAGTAGTAGTAGTAGTAGTAGTAGTAGTAGTAGTAGTAGTAGTAGTAGTAGTAGTAGTAGTAGTAGTAGTAGTAGTAGTAGTAGTAGTAGTAGTAGTAGTAGTAGTAGTAGTAGTAGTAGTAGTAGTAGTAGTAGTAGTAGTAGTAGTAGTAGTAGTAGTAGTAGTAGTAGTAGTAGTAGTAGTAGTAGTAGTAGTAGTAGTAGTAGTAGTAGTAGTAGTAGTAGTAGTAGTAGTAGTAGTAGTAGTAGTAGTAGTAGTAGTAGTAGTAGTAGTAGTAGTAGTAGTAGTAGTAGTAGTAGTAGTAGTAGTAGTAGTAGTAGTAGTAGTAGTAGTAGTAGTAGTAGTAGTAGTAGTAGTAGTAGTAGTAGTAGTAGTAGTAGTAGTAGTAGTAGTAGTAGTAGTAGTAGTAGTAGTAGTAGTAGTAGTAGTAGTAGTAGTAGTAGTAGTAGTAGTAGTAGTAGTAGTAGTAGTAGTAGTAGTAGTAGTAGTAGTAGTAGTAGTAGTAGTAGTAGTAGTAGTAGTAGTAGTAGTAGTAGTAGTAGTAGTAGTAGTAGTAGTAGTAGTAGTAGTAGTAGTAGTAGTAGTAGTAGTAGTAGTAGTAGTAGTAGTAGTAGTAGTAGTAGTAGTAGTAGTAGTAGTAGTAGTAGTAGTAGTAGTAGTAGTAGTAGTAGTAGTAGTAGTAGTAGTAGTAGTAGTAGTAGTAGTAGTAGTAGTAGTAGTAGTAGTAGTAGTAGTAGTAGTAGTAGTAGTAGTAGTAGTAGTAGTAGTAGTAGTAGTAGTAGTAGTAGTAGTAGTAGTAGTAGTAGTAGTAGTAGTAGTAGTAGTAGTAGTAGTAGTAGTAGTAGTAGTAGTAGTAGTAGTAGTAGTAGTAGTAGTAGTAGTAGTAGTAGTAGTAGTAGTAGTAGTAGTAGTAGTAGTAGTAGTAGTAGTAGTAGTAGTAGTAGTAGTAGTAGTAGTAGTAGTAGTAGTAGTAGTAGTAGTAGTAGTAGTAGTAGTAGTAGTAGTAGTAGTAGTAGTAGTAGTAGTAGTAGTAGTAGTAGTAGTAGTAGTAGTAGTAGTAGTAGTAGTAGTAGTAGTAGTAGTAGTAGTAGTAGTAGTAGTAGTAGTAGTAGTAGTAGTAGTAGTAGTAGTAGTAGTAGTAGTAGTAGTAGTAGTAGTAGTAGTAGTAGTAGTAGTAGTAGTAGTAGTAGTAGTAGTAGTAGTAGTAGTAGTAGTAGTAGTAGTAGTAGTAGTAGTAGTAGTAGTAGTAGTAGTAGTAGTAGTAGTAGTAGTAGTAGTAGTAGTAGTAGTAGTAGTAGTAGTAGTAGTAGTAGTAGTAGTAGTAGTAGTAGTAGTAGTAGTAGTAGTAGTAGTAGTAGTAGTAGTAGTAGTAGTAGTAGTAGTAGTAGTAGTAGTAGTAGTAGTAGTAGTAGTAGTAGTAGTAGTAGTAGTAGTAGTAGTAGTAGTAGTAGTAGTAGTAGTAGTAGTAGTAGTAGTAGTAGTAGTAGTAGTAGTAGTAGTAGTAGTAGTAGTAGTAGTAGTAGTAGTAGTAGTAGTAGTAGTAGTAGTAGTAGTAGTAGTAGTAGTAGTAGTAGTAGTAGTAGTAGTAGTAGTAGTAGTAGTAGTAGTAGTAGTAGTAGTAGTAGTAGTAGTAGTAGTAGTAGTAGTAGTAGTAGTAGTAGTAGTAGTAGTAGTAGTAGTAGTAGTAGTAGTAGTAGTAGTAGTAGTAGTAGTAGTAGTAGTAGTAGTAGTAGTAGTAGTAGTAGTAGTAGTAGTAGTAGTAGTAGTAGTAGTAGTAGTAGTAGTAGTAGTAGTAGTAGTAGTAGTAGTAGTAGTAGTAGTAGTAGTAGTAGTAGTAGTAGTAGTAGTAGTAGTAGTAGTAGTAGTAGTAGTAGTAGTAGTAGTAGTAGTAGTAGTAGTAGTAGTAGTAGTAGTAGTAGTAGTAGTAGTAGTAGTAGTAGTAGTAGTAGTAGTAGTAGTAGTAGTAGTAGTAGTAGTAGTAGTAGTAGTAGTAGTAGTAGTAGTAGTAGTAGTAGTAGTAGTAGTAGTAGTAGTAGTAGTAGTAGTAGTAGTAGTAGTAGTAGTAGTAGTAGTAGTAGTAGTAGTAGTAGTAGTAGTAGTAGTAGTAGTAGTAGTAGTAGTAGTAGTAGTAGTAGTAGTAGTAGTAGTAGTAGTAGTAGTAGTAGTAGTAGTAGTAGTAGTAGTAGTAGTAGTAGTAGTAGTAGTAGTAGTAGTAGTAGTAGTAGTAGTAGTAGTAGTAGTAGTAGTAGTAGTAGTAGTAGTAGTAGTAGTAGTAGTAGTAGTAGTAGTAGTAGTAGTAGTAGTAGTAGTAGTAGTAGTAGTAGTAGTAGTAGTAGTAGTAGTAGTAGTAGTAGTAGTAGTAGTAGTAGTAGTAGTAGTAGTAGTAGTAGTAGTAGTAGTAGTAGTAGTAGTAGTAGTAGTAGTAGTAGTAGTAGTAGTAGTAGTAGTAGTAGTAGTAGTAGTAGTAGTAGTAGTAGTAGTAGTAGTAGTAGTAGTAGTAGTAGTAGTAGTAGTAGTAGTAGTAGTAGTAGTAGTAGTAGTAGTAGTAGTAGTAGTAGTAGTAGTAGTAGTAGTAGTAGTAGTAGTAGTAGTAGTAGTAGTAGTAGTAGTAGTAGTAGTAGTAGTAGTAGTAGTAGTAGTAGTAGTAGTAGTAGTAGTAGTAGTAGTAGTAGTAGTAGTAGTAGTAGTAGTAGTAGTAGTAGTAGTAGTAGTAGTAGTAGTAGTAGTAGTAGTAGTAGTAGTAGTAGTAGTAGTAGTAGTAGTAGTAGTAGTAGTAGTAGTAGTAGTAGTAGTAGTAGTAGTAGTAGTAGTAGTAGAAGTATTGTGTATGTTACTTTTGTTGACAGACATAAGTAGTACATAATACCAATTAGAATTCGAATGCTTGAAAGGAGAATATTGACAAGATTGAATTGAGCATACCTTGATTAATGTCAGATGGGTTTTGTGGAGATTGTAGTAATTTCAATGGTTACGATCATGATCATGATCACGGCTGTCCAGTGCTTCTAAATTTTCCATGGTTTTCTAGCTTCAACTGACTCATGATTTCAATCAGTGGAATATGAATATGCTTAGTTTTAATAACTTAACATTCATACAAGAAGAATATATGTATCCTATTGTTCCATAAATAGTTCTTAAAAGTTACCATTCATTATTCTTACTGGGATATATCAATTCTATACTGTAACTATACTATATAATTACATATGAAAACTATTTATTTCATAATAAATTAACTGTGAAATTCTATTATTTTCTTTCTTTCTAAATTTGAACTCATACTTTTTTTTGTTACCAAGGCAGTCTGCCATTGTTTTGTTTGTTTGGTTTGGTTTTTGTTATTGATGATTACGTAACTTGCGAATGATGATACTTTTGATTATTTCTAATTATATTTTATGTAATAAAGATGACATTTTTTATATAAAAAAAGAGTTATAATCATGAAACAAATGAAAGAATCGGCCCCAAATGTCCTGGTACGACCAAGAGTGGGGAGAGTCAGCTTTCTCTTTCGAAATGCTTTCACATGACCACGCGTGTACAACCACTGTCAGGGAAGTCCTTCTAACTGCCTTCTCGCACTAGGGTTGTTGTTTACGGAATTGAAAGGACGAAAAGCGAACGTCCAGCGCTTTAACCGGATTGGTGGATATGGGTGATTCAACTAGGGGAGTTGGAAAACGGGCGCCAGGATCCTAAGGAAACAAATCGCAGATGAACCCATTATTGGTCAACGGCTACCATGGGACTCCATCTTCTTATGATGCTCCATTGCCTTGTGGATAAAACCTTTAGGTCAAAGGATCGGTGTGTGACCCCTTAAGAATATCACCTGGTTGACTCTGGGCACCCGGGCAATATCACAGCCCTCACACAAATCAAATGACATTTGTGTGGCGCATATGTATCTGGTGCCCCCTTGTGCCAATATTTATGTATTAAAATAAATAATAATAAATAAATATGAAAAAATCATCAACTGGATGTACTTGGATTTCAGTGTTGATGCAGAAACCAGAACTCTGACCCAGTGTCTTTCACTACAACACGTTATTCATTGAGTTCAGACAGATACGTGCCTGTACAGAACTGACGAATTTTATTTCATTTGTAAGTGTCTGAATCCTTAACACTGGGGTGCAAATATACTCAGATAATGAGTTCTATATAGAATGAAACTCATGATCATGATTTCACTGCTTATGACTATCTATATTTACTTAATAATGTTTATGACTTGATAGTCATGTCGGGCTAGTTCATACCAAGTTCTAAATACTCAATACGTAATAAAAACACAATGATTCAAATGTTTACAAATGACATATTTTCAATCATGTTCATATGCATAACATCTAGCCAAGATGAAGAATCACCCGTGAAAGTCTAGAATTCACATTGTATAGGCAATCAATTAAACAATTAGTCAGGTTTTCTATAATTCTTTCTTTTTGTTCTATCCATGACTTGATGATGTTCATTTTAATGTTAAGTAATTCATATAGATTTTATATAACATTTGCAATACCATTATCAGTATAAACATCAAATAAGAATAAGCTATAAGAATTTCTTCATAAAGGGTTTAGTGGGACCCTTCATTTTGACGTCAATAAGATCTGACGATGTTGTCGACGAATTCACCACTTTTGTGGACCGTTATGTGGCTCCGTTTCGATCACATGAATGATTGTTATTGAAATATATATATGTCGTCTATCCTCGTATATAATCATCGACTTAAATCGCATTACTGAATAACGGAATCAAATAAGTTGAATACAAGATTGGTTTTTGAATACTTATATTTCATACATTCGTTGATCCAGACAAAATATCGGAGAAGAGAAGAGAAAACTGGACTACCTGTTCCTGCTATCTGGATATTTCAACAAGTTATCTGTTTTTCTGTTTGTTTTAACATATGATTATGTCTATTAGTCTTATAACCTATTCAGCTGCGTTTATGAAACGTTTACTACATTTCCCTTTACAAATTAAAAAAGATTCCAATCAGAGATAACGTGGTTGTTGGCAATATGCATTGACAAGAATAAACATGATTCAGATGTTGATTCCTGAACTGCTAACTTCTAACTGTCGATCACATCATATTTATCATCAGGATCGATCAAGAAATAAGGAAAGGAAACTAGTTAAAATACAGTAATGAAATAGATCTATTTTACAATTGAAGAACAATAAAGATAAACCAGTAAAGAAAATGGGCATATACTTAAGTGTACAATCGTATTTTTAATTCATTTATTTGTTAAAATTAATAATCAATAATATTATAGAATAGTAAAGGTGGATAGTGGCTAGCAGTAGAATCCGGGACGGGCATTTCTTACTTTTTAGGACTCATCAACTGGATGTACCTGCATCTCAGACTTGCTGATGTTCACTCTGGGACTTGAACCCAGCACCATTTGTTTCAAACTTGCATCCTGGATTCCACTGCTAGCCACTATTCAATTTTACTTAGAATCATTAGATTTTTTTCCTTGACCGGTGTTTCTGGTTAACTATATTTCCCTGGTAGTTTCTTCGTTGTTTCATATAGTTGTTTGATATTTCCTTCTGTTGCAGCTTTTTCCCCTGTCGTTGCTAGCTCTACCACGAATTCCTGCTTGTCAGTTCCAATGCACTTCTTCACTTGATTGTTTGTTTCTGTGTATTCAGCTTGTGCCTTGAGTTTCTCTGTTCTTCTTCGGCTGTTGTCAATTACTGTCTTCTTGTTCTTCCTTCTTTAAATCTTGTCCAGAGTTGATATATAGTCCCAGTATGTCTGAAATAAATGATTCGATTCGATTCGCTTACTGGAAGCTGGTATTGGTTTTTGAAATAAATGATTCATATTGCAGAGGCTGAGATTGGTGTTCTGGACTCAACTGGCTGGGCTAGTCGGAAAGCAGGACCAATTAGGGCTCTAGGCTGCTCGCACGTGTTTTATGTGTCACTGGTTCGACCGATAATTTGCTGCTCTGCGTTATACATTAACAAGCCACACGAGCTCACAAGCTATAACAATTATGCCAAAAAAATGTATGTATAGTCGACATAAAATTTCTGATCACTATCAAATTTATGTTCAGTAACATGGTCATTAGGATTTCGACAGCTTGAATGAAGTTAAATCAATAGTTTTTTGAATATGAGTTAGAGAAAACTGGAATCTGAAAAGTATCATAGTGATTTTATTGAGAATACTAACTGACCCCAATAAAAACTATCAAATTCTTGCAATCACTGGACACCTATTTTGCGATCTCAACTCTGAAGTTCTATTGAAAAGTCGTGTGATGCAGTTACCCACTGAATACAATTGAAGATGATCACATAATACCGCGAATTGATTGAAGTAAGAAAGTAACACCACTAGATCCCGACTCAGTGGACTAAAGATTAAGTGTTTGCGCTCGATATTCAAAGTCCTGGGTTTGACTCCGGTTGCAGGACCGTAGATGTACACTGCTGAAATGTCACATACTAGGATAGAACGGCCGCCCAATGCTTACAGGTTTTGAATGACTGTCTAACTTAGATCTCTTCGTAATCTGATTGAACATTAACATAATGACATGAATGTAATCATTTAGCATTGTTTCTATGAACAAATTAGATATTAAAATATGTATAATAATCAATAGCAGTTGAATATAAACAATTTTTACAACAATAATGTAAAGCTGTTTTCTGTTGTTTGGAGTACTATTGAACTTTGAGTGAATAACATCTTGCTTGAATGAAAGTAAACAAAATATTCAATGTTAACGTTTGTTTCTAACAAACAGAAAATACCAGTGAAATTAGATAGCAGCTATTAATAAAATACAGAATATACCTCTCGTTCTAATTAAGATTCATCAGCTGAATGAACCTAGAGTGCAGTGTTGATTTTCATCCTGAAACTTAAACCCTGTGACAATCAGTTAAAACTTCAATATGTTGCCCATTGAGTCACCATTAAATGCCCACTGTTTTGTTGCTACTCCCATGACGCTGATTAAAAACATTAGAGAGTAATGCAAATAAAGATTTACTGATACTCTAAAACGCGTCATCATTAGCTTAAAACATACTTATGACATATGAAACACAGTCCACATTATGAACAGAATTGAATGATGACTATCAACGGAATCCCGGGACTGGTATGAATCGCCGTTTGCTTTAGACGTCATTGCATTATCTACTCAGCTAATGAGCCCAGATAGTCACTATCTTATGTAATGAGGAGTATAATGATAAGTTCGGAAATAAGACGAAATTCGGGCCCTGGGTTTCTCTGCTAGCCACCATCCACCTCTGCTTATAATGATTGTGACTTAACGAAAATATCGAGACAATCTACATAGGATATATATATGCCAAAAGAAACTGATCAGTTACAGTCAATACAAAAGAGCTGACACTCATTTAGTACAGAGAATATTCATATTAAATAAACATCATACTTCGATAGAACAATAAGAAGACGGAGTTGATCTGAAAAATTTTTCAGATCAACTCCGTCTTCTTATTGTTCTTATTGTTCTATCGAAATTTATAAAAGGGACTAATTGCTTTAAACATCATACTGAAATGAAAATCAGTATTATACAAGGTAAATTCTTTCATTCAACATAAATGTCAAGACAGTTCTACTGTATGAGGTGGAAACCCAAAGAACTACGAAATCCAGAAGATACAAGTGTTTATTTACAACTGTCTACGCAAAATACTTCGGATCCATTGGCCAGACACTATCAGCAACAACCTACTGTATGAGGGAACAAGCCAGGTTCCAGAGGAGGAAGAAATCAGAAAGCGCTGGAAGTGGATAGGACACACATTAA